TTTTTTTCCCTTTTTCTTATAGTCTTAAAAAAACGGAGGGTGTTTTGGCAAACAAAAAAAGTGCTTTAGATAAATTCAAATACATCTGGAAAGCATTTGTGTAGTTTTTGCATGCCTCCCAATCATTTGCATGCAACAGAACAAGACAAATAATAATAACAAAAGCTTTTGTATGCAAATTATTTATGCATTGCCTCTTTATTTATGCAAATATGTCAATGAATTTGGTCAAATGTCACTTCAGTCTCACATAGACTGTTTCGGATGTAATATCTGAAGCTTCCAACAACATGTTTCGTGTTTTATTCAAAAAGTAAAAAAAATGTATATATACAGAACATTGATAATCTGAAAAAAATAGTCTGTGTGTGATCAAAATAGCAGCAAAAATATTGGTCAAATTATATATGCATGTATATTTATGTGGCTCTCTGAAATACTCTCATCTCACATAAAATAATATCAAATCAACTCAGCATTTCAAGTCAATTTATTTATACAATGCAGTCAGCTGGTCATTAGAGCAAAATAAAGATAAATAATAATACATTTCTTTATTTTTCTGCTTAGTCTTAGGGAAAAACTGAGGGTGTTTTTGGCCAAGAAAAAGACATGCTTTAGATTTGTGTATTTTTGCATGTCCATTCTGCATGCATTTAAACTCAAACATCATCTTACATATGAATCTCTCTATTTATTACAGCTGTCTATAAAGAAACAGGTGTAATTGTTAATATTACATTAATGCATCATGATAATATGTTTTGTTCACAGTCACACTATTACATTTTTATGGTGAAATTAATGTCACTTTCACCATTATTTGTAAGGCGATTCATACTTACGACTTGTAAAAAAACATAATTTAACAACATTTTTTTCTGTAAAAGTAGCCTATATAATTGCCTTGTTAAATAATAATTGGAATGCGAATTTTAATGTAAAGTCTGCACTTGCACTACTTGTACAGTATGTGGTAAGGTTACAAATTAATACAAATTTAATGTAGCATTTTAAATTTTTTTAAATGATTTTTTTCTCTCTTTTTTTTATAGGCCTAGCACTAGTGTATCTAGTTCACGAGCTGAATGACCACGCAACATTCCCTGACTGCGGGCCCCTCCCTGCCACCGCTGAGCTCAGTGCGCATGCGCAGAGCGCTGTCAGGGCACGGCACACTCACAGCGACAGTATGGCGGCGGGCTGCTGCTGGAGGGATGCTGCTGTCGCCGCTGCCTTCACAATGTGAGCGGAATATCGTCTGTTCTGCGGAAAGACTACAATCACCCCCGAGGCCTGTCGCCGTGATCTCGATAAGATGACCAGGCTCGCCGATTACTTCGTGGTAGTTGGCTACGATCTCGATAAGAGAGGTAAGTAAATGTAAAACAATGTCTAGCAGTTAGCAAACATGCTTTGATATGCTTAGCCTTGGTGCTTATAAGGGAAATTTGAGTTTGAATTTGGCTTGCAACATCTCCGGATTGTGTTTTTTCTTTTTCTCAGAATTTGCTGTCTGATATTTGTTTTACTCGCATAAAAAGTGGCAAAAGTAAGCTTAAATGGATGGTTCACTCATATATCAATCCAAACATCTATGACTTTGCTTGTTCTGTGGAATAAAAATATATAAGCTATGAAATTAAACTAGCTGACTGTATAATTTAGCAGCAAAAACAATATCTTGAAAAAAAAGGTTGGTGCCTACAATTTAAACATGTTTATTCTGTTAACTATTTGAATGAATGAATGAATGAATGATGAATTTATATGCATCATTCATTCATTCATTTGTATTCTTACAAAATACATTCATGAAAATAAGATAGAAATCATGAGAAAAAGAAAGGCTTCTAATAATCTTTCTGTGTGCAAAACTTTGATAATGTAAAATGCTTTAAACAGAGCGGCACAAAGCTTTTATGCACACCCAGGGTGCAGAATGGTGCACTTGAAGCAACATAAGCATCACAGCGCACTGCACTCCACACGGTACAAACAAAGAGAAGTATTTACAAGATAGTTATTACAAGATGTAATTTTATGTGAATCCCCAGACCTTTATCTACACATCAAGTATTATAATGGAAATATATCATCTTGGAGAGAGAGTTTTACCGTGCTGACTCTCATAACTGAACGTGACGTGCGGTTTGAATGCTGAGCGGAGACTAACTGACAGCTGCAGCAGAAGGAAGATCACTTTATGTAAACTTAAATTTAACAATGTAAATACAATTTTGTCCCTCACATTAAGATATGGAATGGCTTCAGATGATATAGGCTATAAAGTGCATGAAAAGCAAACTTGTGCTCTTCTGTTTCTTTTGGTGTATGACTCCCCCTTGTGCCATATAAAAAGCACAATAATTGCGGTTGCCTGAAACAACCGCGGTCAGATCAAATAATCGCGATTAGATGGTTATTTAATTATCGCGACAGGCCTAACCCTATTGACTTTCATTGTATGGACAAAAAAGTAGACACCTTTCAAAATAGAATAGAAAGTCATTTTTGGGTGAACTGTCCCTTTAAGTTATGCTATATTTATCTCTATCTGACGCATCTCTATCTCACTGGTATTATCTCGGAAACCATGTCGTGAATGTGAACCTGGACATGTTCCAAAGGATTTTTATAAAGTGCTCTTGAAGTAGTACCTACGTAACACCCAGAGGGCTGGAGCTCTTAAATGAGATAACCTCACTCAGTTTTGTTTACCAGTGCAGAACATGTCCAGCTGACCCATGGGCCATGTCCCCATCTCAGGCCCTTTGTCTTAGTCTCCAGCATTCATATAGCCCACAGTGTCAGATATTCTTCCATCCCTAAATCACCATTCTTGAGCCAGAATGGCTACATCACTGGAGGGCAGTGAGCTGTCGAGGTGGAGTCGCCCAGCGTCTGTTGTAAAACTGTGCAATGCCACTTGTCCGCTCGATTTCTAGGCCCTGCGAGGAGAACGGGGTTGAATAGGATTCTCTGGCCGAAGGGCTTTCTGTTTAAAAACAGGAAATGGGAGTTGAGGCTCTAAGGAGAAGACATGATTGAGTGAGAATCCAGATTGTCCTCAGCATTGCAGAGTGAGAAAATGGAGGTCCAGAGTTTGGGGTGGGTCCCGCTAGAAGTGGACAACCATGGTAATGTCTTTTGGGGTTCGCCGTACAGCTCACCCCCCCGGCTTCTCTCCCTCTCGCGCCTCTTTCTCTCACTCTCTCTTGACGCTTTTTCTTGGGAGGAGCCGGTTGAAAACAGAGAGGCCCTAAACAAAAGAGGAGAGCGTTTGTTCTGTTGCACACTCTTTGTGAGAGTTGTCTCTGCCAGTCTGTTTTCTTGGTTAACCCTTGCGTGCTGTTGGGAATATGTGTCAAAATTTTTGTCTGCAGTTTCTCTGCATGGGAACTAAATGATGTGTAGTAATCCATTTTTTGTGTATGTGTGAATCTAAAGTATGTAGTGCAATCAGTGTTGATTCTAGTGAGTTGATTATTTTTTAGAAAAACTGACACATACAGTTTACAACTACTAATGGTGAGACTTGAATATTGTATATATATATATTGGGGTATATATAATGTATGTATTCATACCCCTTCATTTTTTTCACGTTTTGTTATGTTGCTGCCAAATATATCATCTTGGAGAGAGAGTTTTACCGTGCTGACTCTCATAACTGAACGTGACGTGCGGTTTGAATGCTGAGCGGAGACTAACTGACAGCTGCAGCAGAAGGAAGATCACTTTATGTAAACTTAAATTTAACAATGTAAATACAATTTTGTCCCTCACATTAAGATATGGAATGGCTTCAGATGATATAGGCTATAAAGTGCATGAAAAGCAAACTTGTGCTCTTCGTAAAGCGAAAAACAGGTTTTTAACATCTTTGCAAATTTATTAAAAATAAAACACTTAAATGATTCCCATACCCATATCTGGGACAGTTGAAATTTAGCTCAGGAGCATTCATATTGCTTGTAGATATTACTACACTTCAAGTGAAGTTAACCTGTGGGAAGGTTCACGGAAGCATGCAATCTCTGTTACCCTTAAGGGAAGAAGTTTGAAACAACCAGGACTCTTCATAGAGCTTGCCTCCTGGCCAAACCGAACAATTGATGGAGAAGGGCTTTGGTTTGAGTGGTGACCAAGAACCTGATGGTCACTCTAGTTGAGCTCCATGATTATATGTGGAGATAGGAGAAATCTACAGAAGGACACACATCACTGCAACACTCCACCGATCTGGGCTTTATAGCGGTGTGGTCAAACTCAATCCTCTCTTCAGTGAAGACACATGAAAACACACTTAGAATTTGCAAAAAAGCACTTAAAGGACCCCCAGACTGTAAGAAACAATATTCTCTGGTCTGATGAACCTCAATTCCAAGCATCGTGTTTGAAGGAAACCAGGCACTGCTCATCACCTGCAGAGTACCATCCCAAAAGTACAGTTTTTACAATGAAGACTACAGAAATTAAAGTAATCAAATGTAAAATAACACATCCAGTGTTATTTTACATTTGATTACTTTAATTTCTGTAGTATTTCTTACCTGAATAAAAACTTTCTTAACCTAAAAAACTTTTTCATAGCTTATTGCATTTATTTGTGCTATTGTTTGCAATTTTTTTATTTGTTCTTATTTTATTACTGACTTTTTACTTGTTTTTTTATGAAAATAAAACTTTGCATTGAAGAAAAGTAGATTTTTGTTTGTATATGCTGTGAATTATAGTTCTTAGAAAGAAAATCATAATCGACAAAAATCGGTATCGGCAGATCACACTAACAAAAAATCGGAATCGGACAAGAAAATTGCAATCGGTGCATCTCTTAATATACAGTGGGTATGGAAAGTATTCAGACCCCCTTAAATTTTTCACTCTGTTATATTGCAGCCATTTGCTAAAATCATTTAAGTTTTATTTATGTTTTACACAGCACCCTCATTAATGTACACACAGCACCCCATATTGACAGAAAAACACAGAATTGTTGACATTTTTGCAGATTTATTAAAAAAGAAAAACTGAAATATCACATGGTCCTAAGTATTCAGACCCTTTGCTGTGACACTCATATATTTAACTCAGGTGCTGTCCATTTCTTCTGATCATCCTTGAGATCGTTCTACACCTTCATTTGAGTCCAGCTGTGTTTGATTATACTGATTGGACTTGATTAGAAAAGCCACACACCTGTCTATATAAGACACTTAAGGTTCCTAAGAGCACAGTGGCCTCCATAATCCTTAAATGGAAGATAATGTATTATATATATATATATATATATATATATCATATACATTATCTCATATGTATATGATGTATGCATTGCATACACTGCCATTCAAAAGTTGGTGATCAGTAGGATTTTTTATGTTTTTTTAAAGAAGTCTCTTATGCTCATTAAAGCTGCATTTATTTGATCAAAAATACAGAAAAAAACAGTAATATTGTGAAATAGTATTGCAATTTAAAAGAATGGCTTTTTATTTAAATATATTTTAAAATATAATTTATTCCTTTGATGAAAAGCTGAATTTTCAGCTGCCATTACTCCAGTCTTTACTCCAATGTCACATGATCCTACAGAAATCATTTTAATTTGTTTGATGCTTTTTTTATTTTTATTAAAATAGTTTTTATAAAGGGGTGGCTTACCCACAGCGCCCCGCCTTTAACAGATCAGCTCTCTGTCTGCCTTAGATAAACACACTGACTCAGCCGGACGTCTAGAAATATTCACCAGTCGAGTACAGATTCTTATTCACGAGGAAGAATAAGGCTGAAGGGGGCCATGGCGTGATACGCCGTCCGCTCTGTGTTACCATGACTCCCCATTTCTGCTCATCTGGCTGGACTATAAACAGCTCTGTGCAGAGGAAAGGGTGGCTGGGGTCATGGATACAGAAGCCCGGTCCCCATGCCTGCAGCGTATGGCTGCAAAGCTCTGATGGCCAGCTGGTGGATGAATACTTCTCATTCATGTGGCAGCCGAGGGGCTAGAGGGCAATGGAGATTGCCCTCATTCTGGGAGACACACACACACATTTTCCGTCTCTTTTTGTCTTTGAAAGAGTTTGCATGTATTTGATTGTATGCATATGCACAGTCACACACTATATAGACAAACTCAAATATACATTTGAAACTCCTTGTTGTTAAGTTTCATTATGATTGTGGTGAACTCACATGACACTGTTGGGCTGCTGTCCCAGGGCCGGTGTGAGAGAGTTTCGGGTAAGTTGATGGAACTGTCACATGCTTCCTTGTGTCAGCACTGTATTGTCCTCTTATATTTGTTAATCTTCTACATGTGCTTGCAAACCCAAATATTTGGTTTGGTGTGATTATGCCTTTATTGTTT